TCTCCACTAAATAAATAAATATTTCCAACACACACCAATTAACCTAGCCCCAAAGTAAGCACTGTAAGGCTTGTGTTATGGGATGCTAGGGTAACGGATAGAATACATATACTGTACATATATAAGTATATTTATATAGAAATACATATTAAACAACCATGACTGGAGTACAAATGCTCGTATTCATCACACAAACATCTGCCCCCACCGGGATTTGAATCCGGGACCTCTCGAGTCGGCGACACCATGAAACCCGGCGTACAAACCACTCGGCCACGGAGGTCGTCAAATGCTTCAACCTTCGATTAAAGTGGTGTTCTGTTCAGCTTTTCATGCGCATGTTCAAGCGCTTTTACAAACTAAATCGATTCACATTTAATGTTCATTTTATGGCTCCAAGTTTGTTTAAAAAATAAATGAAACATATCTATTTCAAAATCACTTAGACTGGCATAATCAAAAACTTGATCCCAGCGTGATTAGAACCCATTTTTTTATCAAGATCTACTCAAATACTCAAGTCGCGTGGTTACATCTACAGTTACATTTAAAAATACTACAGATAAAATAACTTTTGTCATAATTGTCAAATGTGTCAACATTTACTATAATATTTGACGTGACAGTTCACTATAGTCAAAATCAAAAAAAATCTAATTTAACTATGGATGATGTAACGGAGGAGCTCGATGGCGCAAGTGGTTCGGCTGCGATCGTTGAAGTTAAGCAACTTTCGCAGTGGTCGGTCTTTGGATGGGTGACCGAAAATTTACTATCTCGAGCTCCTCCGTGCTTCGGAAGGCACGTTAAGCCGTTGGTCCCGGCTGCATCTGCAGTCGTTAGCACCCACCAATCCGCACTGGGCCCGCGTGGTGTGTCATGGCCCAATCTCCCTATTCCATCCATAGGGAAGGCCTGTGCCCCAGCAGTGGGGACATTAGTAGGCTGATGATGATGGTGATGATGAAACGCGGCCTTAAACTTGAAATATAATCGTTGTACAGAATCTATGACAAACAAATATCGAATTATGTTTTGTAATAAGCTGGCTAGCCAATAGAATCAGGGCCCAGTTAATTTCCTCCCCTTGGTCTGGTCTGGAGATGAAACCTCCACCTTAAAAAAGAATGCCGCAAAATCTATTAACTAATGTTCTCACTGTAAAGTTTTCAAAGTTTCATAGAGTAAGTTGATAATGATCAAGGGCGTCGCTAGCTGATGACTAAGGGATGGGAGTCACACTTGTTATAAAAACACAGTTGGGATTGAAAATTTGAACGCTGTGAATTTATTACAGACATTGGATCGGATCGGATGATGTGACAGTACACTTGGCGACCCCTAAACGAAAGTAATAATGGCATGAGAAAATACTCATATTTACAATTAAGTTATGTATCAAAGCGAGAACCGTGTAAACGATTCTCTAGACTTATTGATTATGAGTATGTTATAAAACTCCGGGGATTGAGATTTTAATTATTAGCGATTTAGGCTTATTTATTTTATAAATTAGTCTTATTAAATTGAGAGCCAAGTCTAAAGTTCCTTACTGCGATTTCTTTATTATTATAGTTAATGTTGTGTAACTTGGCTGTTGAAGGGTACACAAGGGTATAAAACCAGGTGCTACATGACCCCATTGCATTCATACGTGCGACATTACGTGTAAACGCAACTTTATCAAGCCTACAATTGACTGGTTATTCAATCAACATTTTCCAAGTGGCAATTTTCCATCGTCAATGGGTAGCGGTTCTGGCGACAGATTGGTGCAATGGTGTCATGTAGCACTTGGTTTTGTACCCTAGTGTACCTTTCAACGGCCGAGTCACACAACATTAACTATGATAATAAAGAAATCGCAGTAAGGAACCTTAGACTTGGCACGACTTTGCCTAGATTTCATTACTTTTTAGAGATAAACAATCAGCTCCATCGAGACTTGGCTAGTTTTTTACAGAATGTTTTTGGTGGGATCTTATATACCGATGATAGGTGTTACATTATCGCGTGGCGATAAAACGCGCCTATATCGTGTATCAAAAATTAAACGAGAAAGGCAAAACAAACTTGCACTCGCATTAGCGGCAAGCTTAGAACTGGGACTTTAGATGAACAGTCTCAAAACCAAGATTATGGTAATAGATCCTACAGAAAAGCTCGAGGGGCATATGAGCAGACGGCTCACCTGATGGTAAGTGATCACCGTCGCCTATGGACACTTGCAACACCAGGAGTATCACAAATGCGATGCCGGCCTTTAAGGAAGGAGTACGCTCTTTTTTTGAAGGTTTTTGGGTCGTATTGGTCCGGAAACACTGCTGGCGACAATATATTCCACAGTTTTGTTTTTAGCTCACTGGGAAACATGACGTAGGTGGTTTGTAACTTTATATAACTGAGGTCAAGCTTCAGTTGTAATGGCTCATACGAGAATGTGAAGAAGAAGCGGGATAATTAAGAATGCTGGACTCTGGTGCTCTCTATATTCTATATTGTTTCAAACTTTCATGGTCACTAACATTATAGTAATATAAGTTATTAACGGGATGGTAACATCATATACCTTTTACCATAAAAGCAATCAAGAACAACGATACGCAGAAATCAGCCATCGCGGAGCATTTGATTGATTCTGGTCCTAACCACTGGATCGAGTTTCATAACCCACAGATTATCTCGACAGAACGCCACTACATACCAAGATTGGTCAGGGAAGCGATTGAAATAATAAAACATAAAAATTTCAATCGTGAGGACGGGTTTAAATTGTCGAGTGGAATTCTGTGTTCGTATGTGTAAAACCGGAAATAATCAAAAAAACGTCGTTTCGCGATCCGATACTGTATGTGTTGTGTGTCGAGAATAGTTTCGAGTGAATAGTGAGAATGTGAACAGTGGTACGGGTATCGAACGCAATAAAAGACTTCGTCGGAGGGTAAACCGATATGTCTGCCAATAACAGCCTACCCGCAATTACTTCAGTTACTCCGTGATCACGGCGCTTGCAACATTACCGAAATATCGGAAACTCGCTAAAAACAAGGTAACAATCCCGTAAATAACTTATATATCTATATTCTTGTACGAAGTGGAGACATAAACCCTAAAGAGAGATGACTGTGATCGTATCGATGCTATCGAGATGTGGTGCTGAAGAAGGATGCTGGGTATTCCTTGGACAGCAAATAGCATCAACGCACAAAAGCTGAAAAAACAATTAAGGCTTTTCTACCATCTGCCAACGTAGGATCCGAACGCTATTACTGCTATTATCTTTAAGGTTATAAAGATTGTTCTTAAACTGCTTTCATACTTAGAAGATACACCTAATAGAAGATATACCAAAGATCGTCAATACGCTCAAGTTTTTGAGCAATTTTTACTTCTGCGCAATAACAGTCAGCTCTAAGTGTCGCCGCACACGGGCCACCGGCCACAACCTTAAAACGCCGCCACCGGCATATTTCCTATAGTTTTCTTGCATTTTATATGGACTCGCCGCACACGGTTAACGCTCAAATCGTCGTTGCTCGCTTCTTGTGGCTCGAACCGGTCACTAATGCACCGGTACAAAACGCCGCCACACGCCACTCGCGCGATTCCCCACCTTCAAACCTTCTTCGCCAGAGTCCATTATGATATTACACGCATGTGTTAAAAAAAGAAGCAGTCATCGACGGCAAGTGTCGACCACCGGCCACAAGTGGCTGTCGCGCGCTTCAGCTACCTCTGTAGCCGCTTCTAGCTTCTCGTGGCGGCGTTTGTGGCTGTCGAGTGGGGCCCGTGTGCGGCAACCCTAAAGTTTCGTGCCGCGACTTGTAATTATGCGATTATGAGGTAGTTTATGTAATTTTCGGTTAAATTGTTAAATGCAACGTTTTAGTAAGTGCTGTGGTTTGCGGTGACTTCAAAGCTATTTATTGGCACATCCGGCCTGAAATGGCGGGTTAATGAGCTTCCGTTGCCGATACATATTATATTTGTTTTGAGCTTTAATCAATATAGTTAGTGTCATCACGTGGCTTTGAACTCCTAGTAACTTGTTCTGACAATCACTTTTCTGACGTACATGTCCACAAGCAGCTCGTTACTATGTGGTTGATGAGTGGCTTCAGCTCCTCACCTCACTCTGCTACTGATGGATCCTGGTTTGCATCAGGAGTCCACCAGCAGCTCGTCACGTTGTGGTTGATGAGTGGCTTCAGTTCCTCACCTCACTCTCTCTGCGTGCTGCTGCTGGATCCTGGTCTGCATCAGAAGGCACCAGCAGCTTGTCACATTGTTGTAAATGAGTGACTGCAGGTCCTCATCTCAATCTCTCTACGTGTTGCTGCTTAAGCGGAATCTGCGTCAAAAATCCCACCAGAAGCTCGTCACGTTGTGGTTGATGAGAGGCTCCAGGTACTTAACTCACTCTGTGTGCTGCTGCTGGATCTTAGTCTGCATCATCAGTTCCACCAGCAGCTCGTCACGTTGTGGTAGAAGAGTGACTCCAGGTCCTCACCGCACTCTCTTTGCGTGCTGCTGCTGGATCCTACTCTGCACCAAGAGTCTCATCAGCGGTTCGTCGCGTTGTGGAAGTTGAGTGACTCCAGGTCCTCACCTAACTCTCTTTGCGTGCTGCCGCTGGATCCTGGACTGCATCAGGAGACACCAGCAGCTCGTCACGTTGTGGTTGATGAGAGGCTCCAGGTCCTTACCTCACTCTCTCTGCGTGCTGTTTCTGGATCCTAGTCTGCACCAGAAGTCTTACCAGCAGTTCGTCGCGTTGTGGAAGTTGAGTGACTCCAGGTCCTTACCTAACTCTCTTTGCGTGCTGCTGCTGGAACCTAGTCTGGGCCATGAGTCCCACTAGCAGCTCGTCACGTTGTAGTTGATGAGTGACTTCAGTTCCTCACCTCACTCTCTCTGCGTGTTGCTGCTTGAGCCGGATCTGCGTCAGGAGTCCCACCAGAAGCTCATCCACGTTGTAGTTAATAAGTGACTTCAGTTCCTCACCTCACTCTTTCTGCGTGTTGCTGCTTGAGCCGGATCTGCGTCAGGAGTCCCACTAGAAGCTCGTCCACGTTGTGGTTGATGCCCACGGAAGTCTCAATGAACTTGCACTCGTAGGAAGTGGCTAGGCTTTTTCCCTCTGTAAACAGAAACAAAGCGACGATTGGTGAAGATTTTTTTATATAAAATTCACTACTTTTAATAGACTAGCGGCCCGCCCTCGCTTCGCTTCGGTGTAGAGCTGAAGTGTAGACTACAGTTTTTGTTCTCAGGCTAGTATTATACACAATGACATTCATCTATGATTCATCTTATACCTGCATGCAAAGTCTCAGCCCGATCGGTTTAAAATTGACAAAGTTTCATGCAAACTTTCATTCCCTATTTTATCCCCTTGGGGGTAGAATTGATCAAAATCCTTTCTTAGCGGATGCCTACGTCATAACATCTTCCTGCATGCCAAATTTCAGTCCGATCCGTCCAGTGGTTTGGGCTGTGCGTTGATAGATCACTATGTCAGTCAGTCACCTTTGAGTTTTATATAAAGGTCTATACCTTTTTCGTTTGACATCGCAGGAATTACGATAATTCCTTCGCAAAGTTTTTTTAAATATTAGTTTGTAGTGGATTTCAGCTGGCTTTACTCTAGTTCATTTTTTGGCAGGGCAAACGTGTTTTATTCATTATAAACTTAATCAAATCATGTCAATGCTTTATCATCTATACTTATAATAAATCTGTAGAGAGGTCAATTCTGTACATGAAATATATTTTCAAAATGACTATCAGGGGATGATTAGTGATCGATACTGATGCCAAAAATACAATCAGTAAAATTTTTGTCTGTCTGTCTGTCTGTCTGTGTGTTTGTTCCTTATAGAAACAAAAACTACTCGAAAGATTTTAAAGAATAATTGTATACTTTTCATCACGCTACAATCAATAGGAGCAGAGTAGTGAAGGGAAATATTGGAAAAACGGGAGAAGTTACTCTATTTTTTAAGCTTCCGTCGCGTGTGCAGCCTTAATGGTTAAAGTTACATAGAAATCATGTATGACGGAAATATTCTACATAAAATTGTCTACAAAATATCCCGCAACAGCATATGTCTATCTTTTATGGTTGACTCACAATAACACGTGTAATCTATACTTATAATAAATCTGTAGAGATGTCAATTCTGTACATGAAATATATTTTTAAAATAACTATCAGGGGGTGATAAGTGATCGATACTGATGCCAAAAATGCAATCAGTAAATTTTTTGTCTGTCTGTCTGTCTGTGTGTATGTTCCTTATAGAAACCAAAACTACTCGACGGATTTTAACGAAACTTGGTACAATTATTCTTCATACTCCTGGGCAGGTTATAGTATACTTTTCATCACGCTACAATCAATAGGAGCAGAGTAGTGAAGGGAAATATTGGAAAAACGGGAGAAGTTACTCTATTTTTTAAGCTTCCGTCGCGTGTGCAGCCTTAATGGTTAAAGTTACATAGAAATCATGTATGACGGAAATATTCTACATAAAATTGTCTACAAAATATCCCGCAACAGCATATGTCTATCTTTTATGGTTGACTCACAATAACACGTGTAATCTATACTTATAATAAATCTGTAGAGATGTCAATTCTGTACATGAAATATATTTTTAAAATAACTATCAGGGGGTGATAAGTGATCGATACTGATGCCAAAAATGCAATCAGTAAATTTTTTGTCTGTCTGTCTGTCTGTGTGTATGTTCCTTATAGAAACCAAAACTACTCGACGGATTTTAACGAAACTTGGTACAATTATTCTTCATACTCCTGGGCAGGTTATAGTATACTTTTCATCACGCTACAATCAATAGGAGCAGAGTAGTGAAGGGAAATGTTGGGAAAACGGGAGAAGTTAATCCATTTTTTAAGCTTCCGTCGCGTGTGCAGCCTTAATAATTAAAGTTACATAGAAACCATGTATGACGGAAATATTCTACATAAAATTGTCTAAAAAATTTCCCGCAAAAGCATATGTCTATCTTTTATGGTTGACTCACAATAACACGTGTAACTCCCGATAGCTTAGCAGTTCGGAGCATTCTGATCATATTTGTTTACTCTTACGTTTATAATACTCTGACTCATCCCTAATTTAAAAAAGTTAACATTATTACCTATTCAATAAAAACAAAACATAGAAATCGGTATAGAAACACCAAACTTATACATGAAATAAGCCATCGCGCCGTCGCACGTGAATACTGAATCATGCTATAAGGATTTTTTTTGTGTAACGGTTGCCGCGCTCGACACGGGTCGCGGCGGCGGTAGGGTATCAAAATACGGGAGGTCCGAGAGCGAACTGTCTAAATCTGTTTTCTGCGTCGTTCCCCCCCCCCCCCTGGGGGACGATCGCTTCCGATGAAACCTTAGAGGCCTTCCCGGCCAGAGGCAGCCCCTACGGGTGTTTTTTAGTCAGTACGAGTCTGACATAACCTTGCAGCCGGCTGTAGGGTATCCATGAGGATTTCTCACCTGCTCCCCAAAACAAAAAAAAGAGAGCGAGCGAGCTTCAATATTTGGCTGTTGATGCGTTCAGAGCGTTCGACCTTATTGACAGACAATAATTGAGAAATATTGAGTAACCGTGCTTATCAGCGCGACTTTTAGTCTTTAAATAGTTTATTTAAATTTCTTTTGTTGTTATTTTGTAAAATAGGTATTAGTTGTTTTGGTAGTGTTTAAATATTCGTTCAAATTAAAAATTATTAAGCGTAGGTACTTTTATTAATAAAGTAGTTATAAGTATTTATTTTTAAGTGAAGTAGGTATAGGTAGATAGTATTGCACAGGCGTTTCAGCTTTATTTTCATTTCTTTTTTGTTGTGAGTTGTATATATTTCTGGTTATAATTCTATAAGAATATTTTAGTTTAAATAGTCACTTAGATTTTAAGTGTAAGGTAGCTAAAGTTAGGACCACGTATTAGTTGTTTTGGTAGTGTTTAAATATTCGTTCAAAGTGTAATTTAATCATATGGGATGAATGTACGATGGCCCATCGAAAAGGAGTAGAAGCGGTAGACAGAACTTTAAGGGATATAAGACAAAATGATCGACCAATGGGCGGTATCACAGTTTTATTTTGTGGTGATTTCCGACAAACCTTACCGGTAATATCACGGGGAACCCGAGCTGATGAGGTTAGGGCTTGCCTGAAAAGCTCTTATTTGTGGCGTGATATACAATCGGTGCATTTGACTATAAACATGCGGGTGAGAACTGTAGATAACCCGGATGATCGTGAATTTTCTGATATATTATTAAAGAAAATACCTTCACCAAAGATACCTATCCACTGCTACACCAAGGAAAACTTATTCTGAAGCCTGAGTTGTGTGGTATAGTGCAATCCCAACAACATATTACATCGTCAGTTTACGGTGACGTAACAAATATATTAAATAAGGATAATTCTTGGCTATGCGAAAGGTCCATTTTAACTCCTCGCAATGACCAGGCATCTGAGATTAATACTGTCGAATATCCAGGGGGTAAGCAAAGTTTATAGTTCAATAAATAGAATGGCCGATGAACAAGAAGCCACTAACTACCCGATAGAATTTTTAAATTCTTTAAATATGCCCGGACTTCCTTCTCATGAAATTTGTTTAAAAATTGGCATTCCGATTATTCTGCTCCGAAATTTAAGACCACCACAAATTTGCAATGGAACTCGGCTTAAAGTAACCCAGTTGCAACAAAATGTAATCGAGGCTCAAATTTTAACAGGTTGCGGTGCAGGAGAAACCATCTTTATTCCCAGAATTCCCATAATACCAAATAATTTTCCATTCCAATTTAAAAGAACGCAATTCCCAGTATCGGTGTGTTGTGCAATGACAATAAATAAGGCTCAAGGGCAGACTATTCGTGTTGCTGGAGTAGATCTCGGTGTCAGTTGCTTTTCACATGGTCAGTTATGTCGCTCTTTCCCGGGTTAGCAGTCCTAGAAATTTTTATGTTCACGTGCCGGATGGGTCAACTTTCAACGTAGTTTACCCGGAAGCTTTGCGCTGAAGTATTTTCATTCTATATGTACCTAAGCCTCATGTGAAAGCGATCTAAACAATATTACCAATACATTAACATAATAACATACAAGGAGTTACATGCTGATGGTCTCGGGGCACAGTGATAATAATAATATTCTGCGGTTCCTTATTGCGATATTTTTAACAGTATTGTGGATTGACATATTATATTTCCCTACTAATACGAAAGTTAATCTGTCTGTCACATCAAAACCACGGAACCCTGAGGAAGGACATATGCTACTTTTTTACGAAAAACGACGAAAACGCGGACGAAGTCGTGGGCAAAAGCTAGTTATGAATATAAATGGTGTTAATAAAAAAAAATGAATTAATATATATTCCATATGCATATTAATAGGATAATGTCAATAAGAGTATGTACAGGATTATATTGAATTCTAATGTCACCTTTAATCTTTCTTATATATATAATTCTTCTGTGAGTGTGTATGTCACTGAACTTCTCTAAAACGACTGGACCGATTTTGATGAAATTTTTTGTGTGTGTTCAAGGGGATCTGAGAATGGTTTAGATTCACAATTTTGTCCGCTGGACAATGTTTTTTTAATTAATTTTTAATTTATTAGTAGTTGTTGATTTTGGAATGTTTTACATTGGATCCGACAGACGGCGCTACCATCGCAGTGTCAAATCTTTATATATATAATTCTTCTGTGAGTGTGTATGTCACTGAACTTCTCTTAAACGACTGGACCGATTTTGATGAAATTATTTGTGTGTGTTCAAGGGGATCTGAGAATGGTAATTTTCATCAAAATGGTCCAGAATGTTTTAGCTTATTAAAAAAAGTTTGAAATTTTCAAATTAAAGACGTGTAGACGGGACAACGTCTGTCGGGTCCGCTAGTATATACATAGTTTGGTATTTAGACGGCCAAAATCGATTAATTATTTATAACGTACACAACCTATCAACACACAAACAGCTTAGTTGTATAAAGGGCACGCGTAATCATTGAATCGAACCACAAAACCAACCAATCGTGTCAGAGCTTAATCGGAATTCCAAATTACTACCGTTTGACGAGCGTCCAATTGGATAAATAGCAAATGGTTACGAGCTTCAAACAATCAATTCACTAATGTTGACTATTCTTGCCTAGTGATGAAAGTTGACATAAACACATTTAACATAAGAAGGAGATAGAAAGCCTCTCTTGAGTTTGTTTCGCCGGTTCTTCTCAGAAAGGTCTCCCAATTTTGGAACCGGTGGTAGTTTACGGTAGTTAGGGTCAAATAAATAAACTCAAAATTACAAAAAAGAATTTTAAATAAAATACTTTATTAAGTAAATTAAATAATAAATTCATACATAGACAATAAATCTTAAAAATCGAACAATGAAATAACCAAACGCTCAATAAAAGTCTTTCGAAGGTAGCTCGACAAATTAAATAAAAGTTTTATTCTGACGGCGAAGCCTGTAAAGGCTACGAAACGTCAATAAATAAATAAAGTTTCGT